TGGAGAAATATCATTTCAGAATATAAAATGATTCATTAATTATTGTACAAGTATTTCAGATTAAACTTTAAAAAAGGCTATTTATGAATACCATTAAAGCAGAGGTGAAAAGTAAAGTCCCAATATTGGGTCTCTCTGAAATCTTTGGTGCACCTGGGAGTTGCAGACATTAAAACCAGCATAGAATTTTTAATATGTATGGATTAATAGTAATACTTGTTATACTCAGCTTTATTTAGGTTCAAATTACATATTTTGTATTGGATCCATCCACTGTTCCAAGTACAGGCATGCTATTCAAAGGTTGAGTCTACTGTTTGCTAGGAAGATATTGTATCTCCTGTTTTAAGAGGAAAAAACTTAGTTTTAACATCACTGCTAGTAACCTTTGATTAGAACAGATATCCCCTTTCCCCTATGCAGGCAAGAATGCTCTTTTCATATTATTTAATAACTCTTTTACTAATGTAAATTATCTAAGTGTGTTAATAATTCTAAAAGTTCATACTTCTATTTCTTCTTGCTGCCCGTTTTCTCTGAAATTGCATTGCTAGATGGCCATTGTTGCAACACTGTAAGCTGGCTCTATTGGAGAGTTTATTTTGTGTGTGTTTTTCATACAGGCTGCTTTCATCCGTGATGTTATGATGCCCGGAGAGTGGGATGTGTGTGTGACCTCCTATGAAATGGTCATTAAAGAAAAGTCGGTTTTCAAAAAATTTAACTGGAGGTATCTGGTGATAGATGAAGCTCATCGGATAAAAAATGAAAAATCCAAGGTAAGTTTTAATTTTATTGGTAAGCACTGAAGAACAATACCTAGAGGGAAGGTAACTTTTTTGAAGAAAAGGAAGAATTTTTGGGTATATAAAACTTTCAGCTTGCTTGGACTGGTTGAGGAATCCAACCAAAGAAGTGGTATCTAAGGAGGAGTAGAACTAGATGAACGGAACTGAACTGTTACAGTTTCAGGACCCTGGAGAGTTCATAGAAAAAACTTCACAAGTTGGGTTACCTCTTGGTAAAGACTTTTTGCCCCAGCACTAGTCTGCGTTCAGTTGTAGCCTTCAGAGGTTTTGAACAACTGGGTGGCCCTTTTGACCTACCCCTTGCTTCCTGTTGACTGTGACCTTAAGGATGCCATGAACCTTCCTGAGACTGCGGCCTTCTTCATAAAGTAGCAAACACCCTGGAAAAGTCATCCTTGACAATAGAAAACTTATCTATTCAGTTTGCATAGGCTCAAGATGTCTTCTTCTGAGTTAGAATGATCTGGAGTTCAGCCTAGTTGGATGAACACTTCTGAAAGTCTTTCTGGCCTTTTGATGTGGGGCATGTGACATTGTTTTATAAAGTTCTTTTTCGTACACAAAATACATTTTAGAGTAGGATTTCACCCAGTGTATTTAATTTGTCTGGAAGAGCATTTTAAGAAGTCATTAATAGACCAGAGCTTTGTTTTCCAAATCTCAAGAATTAGTATTTATAAAAACGTATCTTTGGAATATATTGGCAAAAAACTCTCTTCATATTTTTTTTTTGTTAGCTATCAGAGATTGTCCGTGAATTCAAGACAACGAATCGCTTGCTCTTAACAGGAACCCCTTTACAGAATAATCTTCATGAACTGTGGGCACTGCTCAATTTCCTTTTACCAGATGTCTTTAATTCTGCAGAGGTGAGACTGGGTTTGACATTGAAATCTTTCAATTGCATAAATTACAGATTTTATAGCAAACTAGTTCTAAATTTTATATCCCCACAATTGCTTTTACATTTTATTACAATGACTTGCTTGCATATGGCTTGCATTTACATATAGAAAAATATATATATTGTACCCTAACCTTACAATTGTTTAGGTTCCTCCCTTTTTCCAACTGCTGTTGGTGATGTGCATTTGTGGCACAACCATGATTTCAGAGCAAAGGGTATGTTTTACATAGTATAGCATGGAAGAATTCAACATGGATATATTGATTCCCAAGCCAAATGGATGTTTCTTTCTTTGCGTTCTATAATTTCTACTTGAGCTAACCTAAGCACTGAGAAAATACGAAATTGCAAACATAATAGTAAAATGCATTTTTACACCTGCAGGACTTTGACTCGTGGTTTGATACTAAAAATTGTCTTGGTGATCAAAAACTCGTGGAAAGACTTCATGCTGTAAGTATGGTGGTATTTCTTGATAGAAGTTTATTGTCCTAGCTTCCATGTATCACAGACTCTGCAGTGCATGGTTGAGACAGTGTGTGACTTTCAGTGCAACCATTATGGTGTTCGAATATTGGCTTTAAAACTCCTTTTTCAAGGCTCATCTCACTTCTCTTTTGGTGAAGATTTTTTTTAATACAGGACTTCAGTTGATAAATATGCATACATTTCTAATTCATTGCTTTTTTTTTGATGTGTGATGTGCCACTCTCCTGTTTTGTATATTTTGGGAGGATTTTTTAAATTGGTAAATATTTATTAGAAAGGGCATGGGCCATCTGGCTTATAGTTTATAACTTATAGTTTTTCAGAAATACATATTTTAAAACAACATTCAAATGTGTCTACATGAGAAGTGTAAAATAAGAGTTATCTAGAGTGGTGCTTTTCAGTCTTTTCACAGTTTTAGGATAGAGCAATATTCGAGTACTACCAGTTGCACAGCAAGGTGTCAAAAACTCAGTGACCAAAAAATGGGAAAAAAGTAAAACGATGCAGTTTACATTGTCAGCCTATTGCCCCCAACAATCCGGCTCCTCATTTTACTGACCTCTGAAGGATGAAAGGCAGTATTTCAGAATTATGTGATCCCTTTTGCAACCTTCTGACGAGCAAAGTCAATGGGGAAACCAGATTTACTTTACAACCGTGTTACTAATCTAACAACTGCAGTGATTTGTTTAACAAATGAAAAAAGTCATAAAACGGGATAAAACTCATTTAACAAATTTCTCACATCACCACATAAATTTTGGGCTCAATTCTGGTCGTGGGTTGAGGACTATCTATACATCCACTTACCACACTTCGAATGGGAAACGTGTGCCTGTTTCTCTGGCATTGATCTTTGCACTGTTCTGTTCCCGTCTCTCCCTCTGCTTGCCTCAAAGAAGCCTCTCCTCTTCTCCAAATCTCTTTCTCCATCCCCTTCTCTTTCCCCGTCATCTTTTTTTCTCTCCCTTTCCCGCCCTAACCTCCTCCTTTTCTGTCCTCTCCCTCTCCTCCTTTTCTCTTCGGACGCAGCTCCAGCTCACTCCTCTCCCCAAGGCTGCTGGTTGCTGCTCGCGGAAGCCTACCCATTGGCTGGAGCTGCGTGTGCCGATCCTGGGCGCTCAGCGGAGCCCTGGCAACATCACGGCTCCAGCTGATTCTCCCACAGACCTGTGTGGCACTGCCACCGCTTCAGCTCACAACTCCCACTACACTTTTTAAACACTTTTTTTACAGTGCTTTTCAACCCGTAGTACACGAACCATCGGCCAGGTAGGCATAGCATGGGTTAAAAAGCACTGTATAGAATTTAGAGTGTACAGAATTTATTGGTTCGTGTCTTCCCAGCATGGCTTTTGAAGGAATGTGTTTTCTTTTCTAAAAGCAAAGCATTCCATTTCCGCAATTAAAAATGAAAGGACTTTACACAATTCCCATAATATCAGTAAAGCTGGGGATTATGGGCAATGTAGTCTGGTATTTAAGGTAAACAGCAGAAGCTTCGTAGTAGTCCTTGACTTGCAGACAGTTGTCTTAACAACTGTTCAGAGTTAACAACAGACTTTACTTACAAATCTGTCTTCGAAGTTATGACTGCTACCCTGCACCCCCATGGTCACATGATTGCATTTTGGCAACTGGCTCATATATTACAACTGCTTGCAACACCCCACAGTTATTCAACCACAATTTGTGATATTTTTTCCGAGTTTCCAGAAAATAACGCCCATTCCATAGAATGGATTCACTGTAATGATTATTGGATTTGCTTAATGACCGTAGTGTTTTCCTTTACAACAAGTGTAAAATCAGTCATAAATTTGAGTCACATAGCACCTATGACCATAGCAAGTTATAACCACAATTCCAGTTCCAGTTATACTTTGAGGACTATCTGTATAGGGAGAAATGTCTGAAAAATCTGGAACATCACTAAAATGTTTCCTGTGTTTTTCTTGTTTTTTTCCCAGGTTTTGAAGCCGTTTCTGCTACGGCGCATAAAAGCTGAAGTGGAAAAAAGCTTGCCTCCTAAAAAAGAAGTAAAAATTTATCTGGGCCTCAGCAAAATGCAGAGGGAATGGTAAATTTTAAAAATCTTACACTAGGAGATTGATACACTGATTATGTGATGCACGCAAGGTAGTCCTTGTTAAAACAATTGGCAGTTGAATATATTAATGTCCCGGAAACTCTTTTAAGTTGTCCTAAATTTTTATTTTATATTTTTCTGTGTGTAGGATTAGATTGGATAAATTTTAAGTAAGCTATTTTAGCTTACTTAAGATGATCTGGTCAAATGGAAAGCAGCTAGTTTAGAGGCTCCCACTTCAACTGCAAAACTGGGGCAACTTCCCTTTCTCCTGTTTTTAAACTGTTTATGGGACGAAAATGTGTGTGGCCATTTTGGGATTAATGGGAAATTGAGAGGGCCTCACCCACCCCTTTTATTCCAGGGTTCTCCTCTTGGTAGCCAACAGTTCCTAGAGCATTAGTGACCATTTTTATGTTGGTAGCATGAAGAAAAAGGGGGCGCGATGGCGTAGCGGTTAAAGACACTGAGCTTGTCAGCTGGAAAACTGACAGCCCGGGTTCGAGACCCAGGCACTGCTCGACAGGGCGAGCTTCTGTTCCTGCCCCAGTTCCTGCCCACCTAGCAGTTTGAAAACATGTAAACGCAAGTAGATTAATAGGTATCACCTCAATGGAAACATAACAGGATTCTGTGCACCTTTGGCATATAGCCATGCTGGCCACATAACCACAGAGAATGTCTTTGGACACCCCTGGTACCTTCGGCCAAGAAACTGAGATGAGCATTGCACCCTAGAGTTGGACATGACTGGACAGAGAAACCTTTACCTTTAGCAGAAAGAAATGAATTTAAATCTTCTATTCACTCTCTTGCTTGTAAAGTTAGTTTAGCCTCAATCAATCGTGAGATTGGGGCTATAACTAGCCTTAACCCCCATCAGTTACTGAGTTATAGTGTTTGTGTGATACCCTAATATTCCCTTGAGCTCAGTATTGTATGTATGTATGTATGTAGATTTTCATGGGTACAGGTATGCAGGTCTTGGTGTGTTTGGGTCTTTTCCTGTGTAAGATTGAGAGTATCTTGGCAACGTTTCGACGAGGTCCCACTTGCCATCTTCAGGCTGGTGCTTTCGGCTTCGTGCTTGTGCGAGAAAAGCGTGATTGGAGTAGCCGTCTCTCTATAAATACAGCCAACGACCCAGGAGCACAAGACCCAGGATGTCACAACAACAACAATAGAACTCAGAAGGTCATCACACAACCCATTACCCAGGTCGTTACAACACAGGAGGCTGATAGACACACAGCCAATACCTCAGCCACACATGTTCTTACAAAAAAGCCAACCAATCTGCAAACATCAACTCCATCAACCAGTCAAGAAATAACAACACAGCTAACCTCCCCACCAGTATTTATAGAGAGACGGCAGCTCCAATCACGCTTTGCTCGCACAAGCACGAAGCCGAAAGCACCAGCCTGAAGATGGCGAGTGGGACCTCGTTGAAACGTTGCCAAGATACTCTCAATCTTACACAGGAAAAGACCCAAACACACCAAGACCTGCGTGTGTGTGTGTGTGTGTGTGTGTGTATGTATCTTTTCTTTTCCAATATCCGTAGCTGTTACCCTGCAGCAAATATCAAATTTGATGAGTTTGCAGAAACAGAGTAGAGTTCTCAGGCTTGAAAAACTCAGAGTGTGAAAATAAAGCAAAGGAGATTAATGCTGTACAGCAGGGGTCTCAAACACAATTTACCTGGGGGCCGCTGGAGGCAGAGTCTGGGTGAGGCTGGGCTGCATAATATTATACTTTATATTATACTTTATATTTATATTATACACTAATATTATACTTTCATATCACAGTGGGGGCCACAGGATATCGTCCTGTAGGCCGCAATTGGCCCACGGGCCGCGAGAATGAGACCTCTGCTGTACAGTGAGTCACATACAAATGGCCAAACAGGGATTTAGATGACCAAGACTCGTTTGTCCTTTATATATTCAAACATTAATGTGTTGTTCCTTTATTATTAAATTATCCAATTAACCTTACAGGTATACCAAGATCCTGATGAAAGATATCGATATCTTAAATTCAGCTGGCAAAATGGACAAGATGCGGTTGTTGAACATTCTGATGCAGCTGAGGAAATGTTGTAATCACCCGTACCTGTTCGATGGTGCTGAACCAGGCCCTCCTTATACCACTGATACTCATTTAGTGACCAATAGTGGCAAAATGGTTGCCCTGGACAAATTACTATCGAAACTCAAAGAACAGGGTAAGACAGATTATCTCCTTCCCCTTCCTCCCAGTTTTGGCCCAGTGGGACCCCTTGTGGGACTTCGGTGTGGTAGGGTTCTGTGTTCTCCCCCCCAGGGACTTCTATTCTGCGCAATCTCTGTATTATCTTATTTTTAATTGTTTTATATTACACATTGCCAGCATGTAGTGTTTCAGTCCATTGGTTAAGGCACCAGACTAGAAAGAAAGAGGCCCTGAATTAAAGTCCCACCTTAGCCATGAAAGCCAGCTGGGTAACTTAGGTCCAGGCACTTTCTCTCTCAGCCCAACCCAACTCACAGGGTTGTTGTGGGAAAAAGAAGAGGAGAAAGGTGTGTTGAATATATTTGCTGCCTTATTTGTAAAAATAATAAAGGCGGGATAGAAATGAATGAATGAATGGATAAATGAGTGGAATAAAAAAAAATTGCCCAGTTGCGATGCAGCTGAGTGACTGCAAATTTAATAAATAAATGATCAATTTCAGATTCATCACGCAGTTGATGAAGATCCATTATTCCTTGGTCCTATTGATATCAGTAAATGTTCATTCCCAGACATAATAACTATTCAATGTAGATGCTTCTCATTATCCTTAACCCAAAATGTAGTTGAAGGTGCTTCAACCACTCCTTTGTCCCTCAGGTTCCAGAGTTCTTGTTTTTAGCCAAATGACTCGCTTACTGGATATTTTGGAAGACTACTGCATGTGGCGAGGTTATGAATATTGTCGCCTGGATGGGCAAACACCGCATGAGGAGAGAGAGGTGGGAATAATTTGTCTAGTCCCTTGAACATTCATTTTCTTCTGTCCTCGACCCAAACGAATGTTTGTTTCTTCACTGTTTTCCTGAGTACCAATTTGCTGGGTCAGCAGTCTATCTTCCATCTGGCCTTATAAAAAGAGATTAATTTTTCATTATTGCCCTCTATGTCATTCAACTTTCTAATTTGAACTTTCCAGTTTCAGCTACAGGTAGTCCTTGACTTGCAACCATCATTGGAACTGGAACTTCCATCACTAAGCGATGGCAGTCATTAAGGGTGTTCCGTCTGGTTTTATGATCTTTTTTGCCATGGTTATTAACTGAATCACACACAGTTGTTAAGTGACTCCACCTTCTCCTAATGACTTTACTTGTTGGAAACCCGCTGGGAAGGAAAAATGGGATCACACAACCTTGGCACGCCGCAATGACGGTTGCTGAGGGCTTGAATTGCAATGTTGTGCAGGGGCAGATTGTAAGTCATTTTTTTCAGCAACATCGTAACTTTGAATGGTTGCTTAAATGAATGGTCCCAAGTCGAAGACTATCTGTATCCCTTCAAGGGAAAATAAGGGAAAGGCCCATTTACAAAGAATCGGGGTGAGAATCCCCGGTGCTCCTTGAAGATCTCTATAATTCACAGGCTGGGAATCCAGTTGCATGCGGAACCGCTTGGAGAGGTGAAAGAAAGAGTTTTGATTCCCTGTGCTTCTATCATGGCCATAGTTCTCCCTGTATTAACTATTTTAGAAACCACGCAAAACAACAAGAACAAAAAAAAAAAAAACAGGTTCTTGATCCCTTGCAGGAAATTTTTAATAGTCTCTTTTTTTAAAAAACAAAATCTTTATTTTTTTTTCAGGAAGCAATAGATACCTTTAATGCTCCAAACAGTAGGAAGTTTGTTTTTATGTTGAGTACAAGAGCTGGAGGCCTGGGGATTAATTTAGCAACAGCTGATGTTGTGATCCTCTATGATTCAGACTGGAACCCACAAGTTGATCTGCAAGCGATGGTAAGCGGAGACCTTCAAGGTTTATTTCTGGGGCAGCTGCATTCTTTCATATAAGATAACTTTAAAAAAAAAACATATCATGTAAACGCTACATTTGGAGGGTTGATTAAAATAGACTAAATAATGATCCATTCACCTTTACCTTTAAATTGGTGTTGGGCATCTTTTCACTTACACCTTTATTAATTTGCCCTGATTAGGATCGTGCTCATCGGATTGGTCAAAAAAAGGCCGTGCGGGTATTTCGGCTTATCACTGACAACACTGTTGAAGAGAGAATAGTAGAAAGAGCCGAGATAAAACTGAGGCTGGATTCAATTGTTATTCAGCAAGGTACAGTTTGATATGTTTATAGTATTTGATATGTTTATAGTATTAAGGCAGGAACTGACCTGCATCATTTGGTAGCGAAGCTAGAAAAAACTCAATTCCTTTGAGATGTTTCCCTCCTTCAAATTTAAAACAGAATAGGAACCGGAGTTAAATATGTGAGTGTTTCAGTATCTGTCTTTGTTTTCTAGTTTTGATGTGACTTCAGTACCAAATAAATGCTTTGCTTGATATATGCTTAGCAAGCATATTGTGCTGCTGATCAGTTAAAATGTAATGGTCCTGTAAAAGTTGGATAATATCCTGGTGCTAACCTCAAATTGCACATATCAAAGTCAGTCCTTTCTGTAAATCTTTGCTTTAAATTTGGCACTAAGATGAAACCTTTAACTTTGCTGTTGTACTTCCACTTTTTTAATTGTAATTTTATTAAATAGTCTGCTTAGATAGGGATATGACTTTATAATTCTAGTGTAGAACTTGCAATGGGTTTGGAATTAAAATTCTTTGTGTTCTATGTATTAGGAAGGCTTATCGATCAGCAGTCTAACAAACTAGCAAAAGATGAAATGTTGCAAATGATCCGTCACGGAGCAACACATGTCTTTGCTTCCAAAGACAGTGAACTGACTGATGAAGACATTACTACTATTTTAGAAAGAGGTGAAAAAAAGGTGAGATAATGTGGAACATAAATCACATATACTGTGCCTTGTTCATTTTTTCTGCTATCTGTAATAAATATCAGCTCTGAACTAACCGGGAAAAAATATGTTATAGCTTAGCTAACTTTTCATAAAGACTGATTAAAATCAGCCATAGTATTTATATACATGAAAAAGACATTTTCTAAAAATGTGCTCTCTTTTTTTGGTACTTGTGACTTCAGACAGCTGAAATGAATGAACGTTTGCAAAAAATGGGTGAAAGCTCTCTTCGGAACTTCACAATGGACACTGAAATGAGTTTGTACAATTTTGAAGGGGAAGATTATAGAGGGAAACAAAAGGTATATTTTTAATATACATGGGGTGTTGCAATTGCATGAATTCCATTACAGAGAATGCTTTTTGATTTCAGTAATATCATAAACATCTTAAAATAAGCACTGGATGTTGCTGGGGTGAAATTCTAGGCTCTCATTGGTTTTGCACACACACACACACACACACATACATACCACAAATTTAGGTTGGAGTGTACTTGTGACTGGAAAGTCTATTATCTTCTGAATGTTGCCTGAGATGCAAAGATGCAAGCCAATGCAATCCTTGGTTGCATTTACAGAGGGATAGAATCAAGATCACATGAAGTGTTAGTGCCGTTTTATAATACCTTAATAAGACAACACCTAGAATACTGCATCCAGTTTTGGTCACAATATTATAAAAAAGATGTTGAGACTCTGGAAACTGCAGAGAAGAGCAGCAAAGGAGATTAGGGGGCTGGAGGCTTAAACATATGAAGAACGGTTGCAGGAATTGGGTATGTCTAGTCTAGTAAAAAGGACTAGGGGGTGACATGATGGGGGTGGCATTGTTCCAATATTTTAGGAGTGCCACAAAGAAGAGGGGGTCAACTTATTTTCCAAAGCATCAGAAGGCAAGACAAGAAACAATGGATGGAATCTAATCAAGTTCTCCTAGAACTAAGGAGAAATTTGCTAACAGTGAGAACGATCAACCAGTGGAATACCTTGCCTTCAGAAGTTACAGCTGCTCCATCACTGGAGGTTTTAAAAAAATTGGGACAGCTACTTGTCTGGAATGCGTATAGGGTCTCCTGGTTGAGTAGGTAGCTCAGAGAAACTTGAATATGTATGGACTTCAATGTCCCCCCAGCCAGCATTAAATCAAACCATTATTATTTTTTCTTTAATTACCAAATGTCTCTCCCCATTAGTTTTGCTCTTAATGCATACAATAAGCGTAGTCCAACCAGTGCAGAATGTAGGATGCGTGAAAGTGGTCCAGATAATAATTATACTTAGGTCCAGGTGATGGATGCCTGGGAAAATGTATCCTAGTCAAGTTCATAATGGAATTCTCAAAAGAGTCCCATGAATGCAATTAATTTTTGTTTCTCTGAAGGAAACTGTCACCCAGGCTCATGCACGTGAAACAATGTATGTGCTCCTTTATTTCTTAATTTTCTCAAATCCAATACTGGTATGGTTTAACATATGGCAAGGAAGTTCATCACCTCTCTTTACTATTCACGTTTCAATATTTTTCTGTTCAGAAAAAGATGAAAAAAAATACAGAAAGCATTAATCCAGCGCACCACAATTTGTTCAGATTTTTGTAAAGGAAGCACCTGTGTCAGCAAGAACCTGACAATCTTCCCTGCCCTTTGAATGAGTTTATTTTTTTTTTTTTTTGTAGCTGAGCATGATGGAATGGATCGAGCCTCCAAAACGAGAACGCAAAGCCAACTACGCGGTGGATGCCTATTTTAGGGAAGCTCTCCGTGTCAGTGAGCCTAAAATCCCAAAGGTTAGCAGTGTAACCTTCTCCGTTACACAAAGAGCAAATGTATTCATTTTCATGAGCGCGCAAATAAAAATTAGAACATAGCATTGACATTGTATGTGTTTAATTTCAAAGGCTCCGCGACCGCCCAAGCAGCCAAATATTCAAGATTTCCAATTCTTTCCACCGCGGTTATTTGAACTTCTTGAAAAAGAAATCCTCTATTATCGGAAGACAATAGGCTATAAGGTAAGAAACTACAACCTTAATATTAAATAAATAATATTCTAATATAAATACCCCCCTCCCCCTAATTTACAAAGCCATCCTTTTTAAAATCAACTTTGTGTAGCCCTGGCCCATTCCAAACAGGATATAGGTTATTACACAAAACAGGTTTTCACTGCCTAAGCGCTGTATTCTTGCTGTGTCTTCTCCACACATTACACACATGTGTCCTCTCTCTCATATATTCATGATACCCAGAAGCTTTTAGAAGCTTTAAAAAGAGCTCTGGACACGTATTGGCTACTTATATATTGCTATTACTGGTACACTTGTGTCGAGCAAGTGCCTGCGAGCCATCGAGGAGGAAGGGGAAAGAGATGAATTATGATAGGTTATGTTCATCTTGCCTGAAGAACTTTCTGAGGCCTGTAAACACAAGTAAAAAAGAATGTTTCTCTACTATTGCCCTGATACCAGAGAAATATTTCCTCTCCTATCAAATCCCCAGTAGATGAAAAATGCATCAGTCTTGCCTTCTGGCATTTCAGAGAAAGGCCATAAAGGGAGCCGGACAGACCTCTCTATCCAGAACCCTTAATAGCGTTGCTCGCTTACTATTCATTTCATTTCCTTGCTGGTTTTAGGTCCCCAGGAATCCTGACCTTCCGAATGCAGCTCAGGTGCAGAAGGAGGAACAGCGGAAGATTGATGAATCGGCTCCTCTTTCTGCCGAAGAGGCCGAAGAGAAAGAACGGCTGCTCACCCAGGTATATGGCTTCTGGGCTTCACGTTTATTTCTTATTTAAAAAAAGAAGAAGAAGAAGCTGTGATTATCAACCTGTCTGGCTTGCTGTGCAAGACGTTACCATAATTATCCCCTGGAAAACTGCAAATGCTGCCTCATCATATGGATTAATTTGTAATTGCGTTGACTCGAAAGCAGAGTTGGCAGGTCTACGTGCAGCCCCTCCCCCCCACTCCATCCCCAAAGGGAGGGAAGAGAGAGTAATTGAGATATTTAATGCATATATTTTACACCGAAACGCACACATTCTCCCTTAAATAAGATAATGTTGTTGGCCATAACATTTCAGCCATCCCCTACAGCTGTTGGAGGCAGGAAAAAAATAAACGTGTAAGCCCAAGCTGGGGAAAAAAACCCCACTTTCAATAAAAGAGGATATTTGTAGCTCAGGGCCGAAATGAGGGGTGTTTGGTACTCTCTGAGCTTGGTTGTTTTCTTGCAGGCGTTTCATTACCCAAACTAGGTAACTTAATCAGTACAGGCAGTCCTTGATTTATGATACAATGGAGTCCAGCATTTCTGTTGCTAAGCAAGACTTGGTTAAGTGAATTTCGGACCATTTTATAACTTTTCTTCCCACAGTTGTTAATTAAATCAACTGCAGTTCTTAAATTAGTAACATGGCTGTTAAGTGAATCTTGCTTCCCCGTTGACTTTGCTTGGCAGAAGGTCGCAAAAGAGGAGCACGTGACCCCAGGACACTGCAGCCGTCATAAATGTGAGTCGGTTGCCAAGTGCCTGAATTTTGATCATGTGACCATGGGCACGCTGCAACGGTCGTAAGTGTGAAAAATGGTCTTAAAGTCACTTTTTTCAGTGCTGTTGTAACTTGGAACGGTTACTAAGTGAACTATTGCAAGTAGAGGACTACTTCTGCTAGCACTGATAATGTTACCTAGTTTGGGTAATGAAAGGTCTGCAAGAAAATTGCCAAGCTCAGAGAGCACCGGGACCCTCCTGAAAAAAGAGGTGTCCATCTTAAGTTGGTTACGCTCTGAACTTGTGTTTGCAAATATTGAAAGAGAAGGAATTATAGTCCTCTGTTTTTAAAATGCAATTAACAAAATTTTCAGCAGCTAAGTAAAGGTAGAAAGTGGGAATTCGACAAAGAGAAGAGTTGAAACTGACACAGTTCAGACTGAATCTAAAGGTTTGGCTTTTACCTAAATAAACCTGTCGTTCAACTGATTACTATTGACTGACCGATCCTGAGTTGAGGACTACCAATAGTGGATGGTTCCAGGCACTTTATGTTTAACATTTCATCAGTAACTTTCTGGCACAGTCTACCAATTTGGATTTTGTTATGTTTTTAATGAGTGTTGTTGAATCAGTCTAATTACTTTCATGCCTGAATTGCTGGGCTATTCAAACATAATTTTTAACATGCTTTGCATGTTATGAGATAGGAAGCATAGATCTTTGTTGCATTTTTCTCCAACAAAATATAACATTCTTAATATATCCTTCTACTGTATATTAGCACTTAGGCTTATATATTAAGGACCCATACACTTGAAATGTTGACTTAACAACTGTCTTTTCATCATTTAAATTGCCAGTGTCAGATGAAGTGAATCTTACAATGAAAATACAGATAGTTCCTAATCTCTTTACAGATAGAGTAAACATTTTTTACAACACTGTTTAATGTTTGAAAATAGGTACATAAAACATCTGAATCTTTTTGCCCTTGTCTGTTTACCTTTCTTTTTACATTTTTCTATCCACATATTTTTGATTGTGTCAAATCAATAGGTCCGTCCTGTTCTTTGTTTGAAAATATTTTTATTTTTACACGGGTAATGCCAAAATGGTAGAACATCAGTAAAAGCAAAGAAATACAGCTTCATGTTAAAGGGTCCATTTCAGCAATTACAGCTGTTTCAGCAGATGGTAGCAGATGGTTGATATTGTCTGGGTTCTGAAGTTAAAAAAAATTGAGTCTGATTAGTACATGGTGGAGATTCCTACAGGAAATTCCAGGTTTGTGGACTGGATTGGGAAAATTTGAAGAAAATTATGCCACAAAAAGACCATGGAAAGCCACTTCTGTATTCTATACTGCTGAAACAAGACCAACAATGATGTATCCCTAGTCTCCCAAAACTGGCCTGAGCTTGAAAGAAACTCTGCATATGCAAAATGTTTTTTGAATTTGAAGCGCCCCCTCTCCAAATACAGGTAGTCCTTGACTTACGACCACAATTGAGCCCAATATTTCTGTTGTTAAGTGAGACATTTGTTAAGGGAGTTTTGCCTTATTTTACTACTTGCTACAGTTGTTAAGTGGATCACTGCAGTTGTTAAGATAGTAACCTGGCTGTTAAGTGAATCTGTCTTCCCGATTGAATTTGCTTGTCAGAAGGTTGCAAAAGGTGATCACATGACACCGAGACATTGCAGTGGTCATAAATATGAACCAGTGGCCAAGTGGCTGAATTTTGATCATGTGACCATGGCGCTACTGCAGTGGTCATAAGCATGAAAAATAGACACAAGTCACTTTTTTTCAGTGCCGTTGTAACTTTGAATGGTCACTAAACGAACTGTAGTATGTTGACGACTACCTGTATCTTAAGTGTGAAACACGTTACTCTCTGCATTTGGCAAGTATTTTAAGTCCCCCCCAGAATTGAAGCTTGAAACATTTCTGAATTCTTAGAACAGGCTGTTTCTGGCTGAAATGTTTGTTGTGTACCCTGGCTGGCTTTCAATAGATCTGATCTCAGAAATAAGTGTCATATACAGAATTTACAGTAGTTCTGCAATTGGTCAAACACTTGATTATCAATGGCACACTATATAAAATATTTGACATTTGTCTCTCCAGTAATTAACTTTGGTTGCTGCCAACCTTTAGAGGTCCCTGATTATAATGGCTTAAAAGTTTAATGTTGTTTAAGGAACTGTTTTTAGTGCCAATTTTTTGTCTATATTCCTTTCATAGTCAGTAGGAGATTTTTTTTTCATGCCCCCCCCCCTCCATATTTTATCAAAAGTATGCATAGGGATTGTCTTCCCTTCCAGGTGTTAATTTCATTCACCATTTGCTTTGTAAGTGTTTGAAACAGAATGTTCCTGTATTTAGTTCCAGAAGATTGCCTGTGACATTTGGACAAGTGCCCTCGTATTCTTGAAGGGTTTTTCTTTTTGTTAGTTACTTGTAATTGTTCAAGTGTGATACAAGTGAAAGCCCACTAAGATTCGGACTGAACTTTGTTTCTTTGGAGACTTGCCATTTACAAGCATGAATAGAACAACTTCTGCATGAGGAGATGTGTTTAAAAATAACTCAGCTTTTTATGACTTGACTAATAAACCCCGGATAATAGATGTTTATGGAAATACCGCAAGATCATTAACCCCTGTAATTATTATGTGACATTGTACCAAGACATTAATGAGCAAATCCAACTGTATCCTCCTAAGATGCCAGATCTGACAAAAACAACTTCTTCTTTTAACAGGGTTTTACAAACTGGAACAAAAGAGACTTCAATCAGTTTATTAAAGCTAATGAAAAATATGGCCGTGACGATATAGATGATATTGCCCGTGAGGTGGAAGGAAAGTCACCTGAGGAAGTTATCGAGTATTCAGGTACGTTAATCGTTCCTTGATTAATTAAGAATGATTGCGAACAGTTCATTTTTTTTCTGTTGGGTTACCTTTGTAAGTCTATCAAGGATAGAGAAGTCTGAAATAATGTGGAAAGAAGGAAATGTGTCCTGGATGGAAAGATTTAAGATCTGCTGAGGGAGTATGCTGAGGTTGATGCCCCATAACTCTGTAGCTGTTCCTGTTCCTGCACTGATTGAGTTTTACATTATAGAACATAGAATAATAGAGTTGAAAGGGACCTCAGAGGTCTTCTAGTCCACCCCCCTGCTTGAACAGGAGACCCTATACCATTTCAGACAAATGGTTATGACATGTTTCGCTTGACAGTGCTGTAGCTGGCACGGCGGATGGAGAGTGGCTGGATTTTTCTCCTGACAGCATTATAAGGCTGATCACTATTTGGTTGAGTTACGGGTTCACAAGAATCCCAGGTGCATTTCCAATGCAAACACAATTCTGCTTTGCAAACTCGGCCATATTTTTCAAGGTCAGCAGCATTCTTTACAATATTTCCCATCAGGGGTGGGTTTCTACCAGTTCTGTCCACCTCTGTAGAACCGGTAGCTCTGAAGAGCAGCAGACATAGAACCGGTTCTATGTCTGCTGATGTTTTTGCCCACCCACCCACCTGCCCACCCGGGCTCTTACCTGATCTTTATTTCCTGCTTTTTCAACTTCAGCTGCCGAACGAGGCACAGCTGCAGTTAGAAAAGCAGGAAAAGAGGGTTGTTTCAAAGTCTGCTTCTCAGCAGGCAGCTGCTGATGACAATTTACAGGCACGCGGCTCCCAGCCTGCAGGGAAGCTCATAAATCCCGAACCGGTAGTTAACCCCGTCGTATCCCACCCCTGTTTCCCACCCTTAAGAGTCAAGGGTTCTCACTTAACAGCCTCTTCTCCCTTCTACACTCCACTCCCAATGCTATCATTTGAGGTCATCCTGTGCCCTCTATTTTCGCACATATAAGGGCCTTCATATGTAGAGTTGGGTGCTGAAGCCACCTTGTTTCCAGAGCAGTATCAGGCACAGCTGGTACATATATTTGAGAAAATAAAGAATAGTTGCTTCTTAAATGGAGAGTAATTGGCCCAAACCACCCTTCCAGTTCCAAAGCTACAAATTCTAGTTGCAAGACTTACATGTGTATATGCCCAGATTGAAATTAGGGAGAAAAGAGGTTGTTTAATTGCTAATACCTGTGGCACTTGGAATGGTGCATTGTTTCAATAATTATAATGTGAGAATGATGGAGATTAAAAGAAGAAAATGGAAGAGGTTGCTATGCTCTAGCGACCTCTGAACGCCTATAATACTTTAAGATATCATTTAATCTTGTAGTTTTCAGTTATGATTTAAAAACAAAACACCCAAGCCTGTGTTACGCTTAGTTAGATGCTCTCATAAAGAAAGAAAGCATTTTTGGTTGTTACATCATGTACAATGTTGATACAATAGGTTTTTGTGATGATATTGGCAAGACTGAACAAAAGTTTAGCCTTTACCGCAGTCCCTGGATCCCTAAGAGTTTAATACAAAAATGGATAAAATTCTGTCTTGTGTACAAGTTACTTTGATGGCATCTTTTGAAATGTTCCCTTTGCAATTGTTCGACACCGACACCGAAAACTCAGAAGAAGGTATAGCCCTCTTTGAGGCATTTAGAGGGACTAGCAGGTTCACCCTATAAAACTGAATACTGGAAAAATCGGGACACAATATTTTACACAATACTTTGGAATTCACTATCATAAAATATTAGTGCTGGTTGTCAGCTTGGCCAGCTTAAAGAAAAGGGAGGGCGGGGTCACTGATTCAGGGGGATTCAGGGGATCACTGGCTCTTTGCCTTGATGGCACTGGATCTGCCCCTGAAGACTGTCTCCTGGGAAACTAATGGGCTCCTTGCACAGTTGGTTGGCCACTGGGAGAATAGACAACTCGACCAGATGGGGCATGGTTTATGTGTTTACAGCATAGAGTCACCTTGAAATGTGGGAAACTGCATCTTGTAGCAGAGAAGATAAGATGGAAAGGCCTGTTGGCTTTAGTCTGTACCTCTTTTTTCTGCTCCTCTTCCACCCTCCCTTGAATAACACCTAATCAGATTTAAACTTAATTGCTTATTTTAAAGTTACATTTTCCCTCCAGCTTATAATGCCCCCTTTGAAGAAATGTCTGAAAAAATTTGTAGGAAATTTGGATTGCTTCACCTACTTATAAAATTCAGTCAGATACGTATTTTCTTTCTTGTTTCGAATTTCCGAAAGATCTGAGAGCACTGGCATAAAAAAGGTTAATGGCTTGAAATATAACTTGGTAAGTTTTCAGAATATTTAAAACATTTTTCTACACTGTAATTTCATTTAGCTCGGTTTAAGGAACTCGATGCTTTAATTGCTTTGAAGTAATATTCCTTTTATTATGAAACATGTAAGATTATTATTATTATTGTAATTTCAGCTGTATTTTGGGAACGTTGCAATGAACTCCAGGACATTGAGAGGATCATGGCTCAGATTGAAAGAGGAGAAGCCAGAATACAGAGGAGGATTAGCATCAAAAAAGCACTGGATGTCAAAGTAAACCTGTCCATTAATATTCTCCTAATTAATCTTGTCCTTCAAAAACCAGCAGGTGGTGATTTTCCCCAGCTGACAAAATTATTCTCTGTCCTTTCCTAATTTTTCATTTCAAAACTTCCGTAACCAATTTAGAAGCAGGCAAATTTAACCTTTGTGTATGTATTTATAAAGCTGTAAGAATTAAAATGCCCCAATATATATTAATTTACATCAAATTTGTGTTAGACACTTAGCAACCACATAGATACTTTTTCTCTCCAACAATCTGTCTTTAATCTGGTAGTTCAGATTTTCCAACAGTGCAGCCACTGTAACTGAATCCATCCACATTATTATTGTGTAAATGTACGCAACCCAACTCCCAATGATTCTTTCCTTTCTTTGCAATAATGGTGAATATCTGTATCTTGGGTATAGGATGAGGGTGAAGGTTCATTCTCCGAGCTTGTGGTTTGGTTTCCGAACGTTTCATTACCAGGCTAGGTAACACCTTCAGCAGAATTTAGGGAATATCAGTGTTCGTCTGTTTATAACGTCTTCGGGTGTGCGTGTGTCAAGTAGGAGTCCTGTGATGGGGAGGTTACATCATTGGGAGGTGAACTGGTGGGGGGGCTTGCATAGATTGGTTGAGGGTCAGTGCCGTCTCTGGTTAGCTGTGTGGTTGATTTAGATTCTGAAGGGTTTGTATGCTGGTTGTAGGACCCTACGAACCCCTCAGAATCCAAATGAACCACAAAGCTAACTAGAGACAGCACTGACCCTCAACCAATCCACGCAAGCCCCACAAGCGGTTCACCTCCCAATGACCCTCACCTGATGTAACCTCCCCATCACAGGACTCCCACTTGACACATACACACACGAAGCATCTCCTAAATTCTGTTGAAGATGTTACCTAGCCTCATAATGAAAAGTTCGGAAAACAACTCACAAGCTTGGAGAATGAATATTCACCTTTTCTTTTCTTCGTTAAAAGCCCTTCTTCTTTTTTCTTCTACTTTCTCAGCATTAGAGCCATTTCCAGACGGCTAAGTCTTCACATCATGTCTCCAAAACAGGATAATTTGTCCCAGTATAAGCACAATGCTATTCTGGTGTTACATCACCAGTATTAAGACCTTAATACTTAGAACTACCAAATACATTTTGAGCGGAAATGGGTTTTTTTGTTTTGACCTTGGTGTAATTACAGTGAATTTCCTGCCGTTGAAATAAGAGCGCATAGCTATTGAATGAGATGCTGACAGAAATGCCTAGCAGAAGAAATCTGATACATGCATATATATTTATATATATATTTACATTTATATATATATATATAAAATATCTTTTTATAATTTTTAGATTGCAAGGTATAAAGCCCCTTTCCATCAGCTGCGAATTCAGTACGGAACCAACAAAGGCAAAAATTACACAGAAGAGGAAGATCGGTTCTTGATATGCATGTTGCATAAAATGGGATTCGATAAAGAGAACGTTTATGAAGAGCTAAGGCAGTGTGTGCGCAACGCACCCCAGTTCCGATTTGATTGGTTTATTAAGTCCAGAACTGCCATGGTAAGAAAGGGTCTGCTGATGCAGTCTTGGTTTATGTGTGCATGTCTTTCCTTTGCCCTTTTAACTCCTTTTGGTTTTACAGATCTGATTGTGTTACGCTATTTTTATTTTGAAATAGTTAACTGCAACTTATTTTGAACAACGGGGGAAAAAATATTAAAAATTTGCTTCTCTTGAGCTGTTTTGCTCTAGTGCCACATTGTCATATCTGTCTGGCTATGCATTCCCCATCTAAGAATATGTGATGTCCAGATTTCAGAAGAGTCAGAATAGAGATGGAAGGGGCCTTGGAGGTCTTCTAGTCCAACCCCCTGCTAAAGCAGGAAACCCAATACCACTTCAAACAAATGGCTATCCAGTCTCTTCCCAAAAACCTTCCATGATGAAGCACCCACAACTTCTGAAGGCAAGGCATTCCACTGGTTGATTGTTCTCACTGTTAAGAAAATTCTCCTTAATCCTAGGTTGCTTCTTGATTAGTTTCCATCCATTGTTTTTTGTCCAGGGCTTTGGAAAACAGGTTGACCCCCTCTTCCTTGTGGCAGCCCCTCAAATACTGGAATACTGCTATCATGTCACCCCTAGTCCTTCCTTTCTCTAGACTAGCCAAACCCAAATGCTGCAACCCTTCTTCATATGTTTTAGTCCCCAGGCCTTTAATTGTCTTAGTTGTTCTTCTCTGCACTTTTTCCAAATCTCAACATCTTTTTTGTAATCTGTGCAGAAACTACCTCAGGAACTGACATAAATTAACACTGGCATCCTAAGGATGCTTTTTCAAAGTACTTTGTCTCTTCGTTAGAGACAAAAAGAGTCCAGTTGCCTTTTGAAAAAGCACCTTTGGGACCCTCATGACCTGGATGACTGAGAATCTCCATAGACGTAATACTGGAACTAGTAAAGAACTAGAATTGGCGTCTGTTTTATGACACTGAAACTTAAAAGAAATTCGCCTGTTGTAATGCGAATGTGATTTGTTTAGATGAATAGTCGCTCTTTGGGGTTACTGTCTAGATAATGTCCACACTGGAATATTTGTAAAACTCCATTGGAGATATCGGGATCATTTTAAACAATCTACCCGTGCTTTACGTTGATTGTCTTCTTAAATTCTACCTGAAGTGAAGAGAAATTTCCCTTGCAAAAACAAATGTACAATTGTTTGACTTTGGGCTGATAAAATGAAATGACATATTAAATTTTAATTGCAGAGGATATCAATGCTAAATTGTCTCTGTGGTGTATCACTTCTGAACCTCAGCATGGATTTCTAGAACTATTTTTTCTAGCATAAAATGAACCAGACACAACAAATGTGAGTTCCTTTGGGGAATATTCAGATTTAATGGCAAATCCCAGTGCTTCCATAAGCGACCAATACTAAGCAAATATATGCTACTCTCTAGCTTATGTAAAAGAATATCTCATTTTCTATAATTAGCTGCTTCAGCTTTCCACATCTTGGTGTCTTCTGCATACAGTCACAGTTCCCCCACCCCCCCTTTTTTGTCATATACACACAAACACACGTTATTGGGTAAGGCAGATGTTGAAGAACAAAAAGTGTTAACTAACATGCCCAAGAAGTTGGAACAGCATAGTTCAAAGCCTATAAAATTAGCAAGGATAAATGGTTAGAGAGAGGACTTGAAGAAAGTGGGTAAAGGGGTTTATTTCCACTTTCTTAACATGAGGACCTGGCTTCATCTAGTAAAATGCACTGATGGAGAATTCAGGACAGGTGGAGTAAGCTCTTGGTATACCATTAAGTTATTCCTTGGTATACCAGGAATTTGTTGACACAAGGTATAATGATAAGACACTAATTTAGATAAGCCTTCTCCATATGTCCCCTCCAGATGTGTGGGTGCTGCAATTCCTTGACTTCCTAACCATGTTGGATGCATGACATCTAGAGGATGCATGTTGTAGAACAGGGGTGTCAAACTCAAGGCCCATGTGCCGAGATGCTTAGATCTGGCCCGTGGGGGCCATCTTGGAAACAATAAAGGACCAGCCCTCTGTGCCTCTGCCAGCAAAACCCCTGTGCCTCTGCACATGCCCCCCCCCCCCGCTCCATTTTCGCTGGCAGAAGGCTAGCAAAACAAACTAAAATCAAAACAAGAGGATAAACGTTTCCCCTTTTGCAATTGAGCATGCAAGAAGGGAGAGGAAAGACAAAGAAAAAGAAGGGAAGATGGGAAGACAGCAAAGAAGGAAGGAAAGGAAGGAAGAGGGAAGGAAGGAAGGATATTAGAATGAGTGAGGAAGGATCTGGTGGAAGTCCTGCCTTAACACTTGGCCACCACAGGTGACATCAAACTGGTCATGCTCACCCTGGCCACGCCTACCCCTCTGCCCCCCTGAGGTCAAACCCAACCTGGATGTGGCCCTCAATGACATAGAGTTTGACACCCCTGTTGTAGAAGATTGCATCAGCCATTTTCATAGAGGAGCCGTGGTGTTTAGCAATACTACTTCCAGGCTCAATATATCTCTGAATGCCAATTGCTCAAAAGTGACAATGGAGTGGAAAACGTTCTACTTACAGGCTTCCTAGGAGAAACCGAGGGGTAACGTGGTGAGCATCTAAAACAGGTGAATCCTTAATGTGAGCCAGCGGGTCTCTTTTTATACCCAGCCATCTATTCTATTCACTTATTGGGTCCATTCTTGAACCTTCTCAAAACATTTTTAGTCTGTGCTTCTATCAGGGGTGTGCCTGAAAATCCAACATTTGGGACAAAAGTAAAACTTTTTCTGTAAAATTCTTAGTTACACGAAATCATTTGTTACCTCAAAAGGATAAGAGGAAGCATTTTGTATCTGCACCCGTGCTTAAACATGCAAAAGGGGCGGGGGGGAAAGCAAATACGATATGTTTCTGCATTTTGCTTGGAAGATCTTCATTATGTTTCGATGGCCACAAGATGTCTCTCTGGTTCTAGCTAAATTAGCTGATTTGCCTCCCTGCGGCTCATCAGTTCTGCTTTCATTTGAAAAATTATTTTTCAGAAAACCCATATGATTCTATGGCAAGCCTTATTTTCTTGCAAGCATGTAGCTTACACAGTATGAATCCGTAAGCGGCATGATCATTTCTGTAAGACTCCCATTTCTTCTTCTTCCCAAAACTTCACCTTTAGATACTCTGCTTTGGTACCAGCCTTTCTTCTTAGTGACAGTGATAAAGATGGGGTCGTTAAACACCACTGATTTGCAGATCTGTTCTTTTCAGGCCATGATGTTTGCCTGTTCCCAGTGTACATTTTATTAGTCTAGGTTCGTTGGCGTATGTATTCTGTACTGAGCTAGTCAATATACTGTATCATTTTTCACCATTATGCCTCATGGTCTATATCAGTGAAAAACAACATTTCTTCCTTTTAGGACACAGACAAGTTTTCCTGCCCCTCATAGTGGAGATTTCGTATTTTGGCAATTTCTTTATGATCAAAAAATAGTCACAGACTTCATTCTAGAGATCTTGTAATGGAGAGAGATGCTGATAATATGTGTAACACCACCGCTTCGTTACCGTACTTCCTTCTGTTCCAAATGATGGCTGTGTTGCAGTAACTACTCTTATTTAGAAAAACAATCTGGTAACCTAGAACAGTGGTCTCCAACCTTGGCAACTTTAAGACTTGTGGACTTCAACTCCCAGAATTCCTCAGTCAGCTTTGTTTTGCTGGCTGAGGAATTCTGGGAGCTGAAGTCCACAAGTCTTAAAGTTGTCAAGGTTGGAGACCCCTGTCCTAGAAAACTTCACACTCTAAGGTTACTACTTATAGAAATGGAATATTGGCAAGAAAAAGATCTAAGGCATCTAGTAATGCTACATGATTTGAATGTCAAAATATATGGCAAACATTTTACAGGAAGTTTCATCCAATAATTAAAAGCTCATAGCACTGATTATACAGGGCCCTTGTGAACAAGCACAGCTCTCTGTTCTTATAGGGGATGCGAGTATGATCTTTAGAATTTGGGGCAGCATTGAATGCAGATAAGGAAGCAAAACACTTGATGTGCCTTGTACGTGTGAAGAGCTAGCATAGTCACAAATAATATCTAAATTCAGGTCTAAAGTCGATACTACAGCAAAATACTGCTAATGTTTCTCTGCTAATTTGCAGAGTTGGTATTGTGCTCAGTGCCTCCCATAAATACATTTTCCAAAGCAGGGGATGTAGCTTGGCAGAAGTACCAGCCAATATTTATTGATCTAATATTCCTATTACAATGATGGTCTGAATGGCACTGATAACTTCCAGTAAATCCTTATGTCTCCATTGCCCTTATGCGTCCCTGGCCAAACAATGCTCACGTTAGTGTAAAAATATGAGAAGGAAGGGGCTCTTGGAAAATCTTCAAATTTTGAAAGAATTCAGAGTAAAGATGTTTCATACTCAAATAGGCTTGGAATACTTCCAAAATACTCAAGGTAATTTTATTTTCATGATTCAGTTTTGAGGTTGGTTTGCAACATAAGGAAGTCATAATCTCACCAGTCTTCTGCTGTTGTCATATTTGAACAAGGAAACAATTCCCAGCGTAGTGTGTTAAATGAGTGGGAAGGTAAACAGCTGGTATCGTGCGTTCCACCATAACTAGGGAACATTTTAAAATAATCTAAAAAATACTTTGAATCGTTTTTGGGTTGCGCATAAAAAACTGGAAGAAACTCAGATAACAGAAATTCTTTGGGAATCTGGGGACTGTTTTCGTTCCAAACAGTTTTGAGAGGGGTCAAATTGTTTTTCTTTCCTGTGGCCTTTTTTTTTTTGTCAAAATGACACCCCATGAGAAGAAGGGTAGCTGTTTTTTAACACACTTGGTCTTGTTTCATTCTGATCTTAATTTTGGGACAATTCGTCTTATAGTGAATACAAGCCCCAAATTTAACAACTCTTAGTAGAGGCTTATTCACAGAGAACTTAAATGCTAGGCAGTGTAGTTTTGGTAGGATACCTGGAGATGGCAGGACTTTTACCCCTTTCCTTCCATTATGTAGCTTGTGGGTCTTATGGAGGAGTAATTTCATTTTTTGAATGGCTTTTGTTGCCCTCAAATGAGAGCATCACTTCAGTGAAATATTATTTGCTATCGTAATTAAGCATATCGAGACCATATTCCAAGCCAAAAAAAAGATTTATAATAAGATTGATGTGTTTGGTGTTAAAATCACGAGCGGTGTTTATAGCGCTCACGTATCCAAATTTTAGACGTATTTTAAATAACACAATCTGCTTCTCTATATAAAATGGTTGATTAGCAGAGAGTACAGGAAATTTTATTGTAGGGTTGTGAGGCTTAGGAAGGGATGTTTCAGTGGAGAAAACACTGCTGCAGATAATTGGACCAACTCATCTTCTCCCTTCCTGGTTGTGAAGTGTATGGAATGGTCAACTAAAAATACTTTTCAAAATATTTTTTGACAACATTTCCATCTGTCAATTATAAATGTATCCTGCTTGGATCCTCACCTACACTACAATGGTACAGTTCTTGAAAAGAAATTCATGCATATGAAGGCCCACACAAGCTAAAGAACTGGCAGCTGGGCTTCATATTTTTCTATGTATAATAAATAATTTGTTTCACTTGTGGCTCATAACAATCAAGTTACAGTAAAATCAATAAAATAGAAGGATAAAGGTTAGCAAAAGGGATGAAGTGAGGGGTCAGACAGACTGAAACTTTATTTATTTTGATTATTGGCCAGTAAAAGTTGAATAAAACAAGCAGCACAAAACTATCCTCTAACAAGAACTATTGGCAACCATTTGTGGGCGAAGCTTACACATAATAAATGAATTTATCGTGATTGTTTTAACAGTCATGCAGATAAAAATTATCAGAGTGCCACATAAATTTAAATACAAGAGCAATAATCAACTGTTGGCAAATATTCCTGCAGAACTGGCAATACAGAAGAACAGGAGCTGTGGTCACAGGAGAAGTGAGAGGCTCTTTGTCTCTTATCAAGGTCTTTATCAAGGAATTTCTATGTCCAGTGCATGGATTTAAGAATTATGCCTATGCTACCCAATTTAGAGAACTCTTTCAGAATCAAAAGCCGTGGTGGCCTAGTGGTTAGAATGCAGTACTGCAGGCTACTTCTACTGATTGTCAGCTGCCAGCAGTTCAGCAGCTCGATCCTGACCGGCTCAAGGTGGACTCAGCCTTCCATCCTTCTGAGGTTGGTAAAATGAGGTCCCAGATTGTGGGGGGCAAAATGCTGACTGTAAACAGCTTAGAAGGGGCTGTAGAGCACTGTGAAGCAGTATATAAGTCTAAGTGCTCTTGCTATCATAGAATCACAGGGCTGGAAGGGACCTTGGAGGTCATCTACTCCAACCCCCTGCCCAAAGAAGTCGTCTTACGCTATCCTGGACAAATGATTGTCCCATCTTTTCTTGAAAACGTCCGGTGATGAAGCACCTACAACTCCAGGAGTCAAGCTGTTCCCTTGCTTCATTTTTCTCACTATCAAGAAATTCCTCCTTTTTTCCAGGTTGAATCTTCCTCTGATGAGCTTCAACCTGTCCTGCCTTCAGGTGCTACGGAGAATCAGATAAACAGATAAAGAAGGGCTCTTGATTCTTTGCTATTTATGGTTTTAGGGAATGTACAGTTCTATGAAAAATCGAACTGAAAAGCAAAACAGGGCAATGTAAGAAAAGCAAAGAATTTTTCTTGAGAAGGATTCTCTTACGCACCTTTGTATATGACAAAGCGAATCTTGCCAAACCTACTTTAGATTGAAGTTGTGTTTATCTTAACGTGGCCAGTTCTTTCCAGAAAATCAGTCTACCCTAAAGGATTGCAGAGTGCTTAGGATTCTGTTCGCAGCTGTATCTTTTCCTGGGGTCTTAATGGCTGCCTTTTGGAACTGCTGCGTGATCCCAGGGAATGGTGTGGCTCTACATACAGAGATGCAGTTTGGTATCGTGTTCACACTCTTGTGTATTCCAGAGGGCTTTTCTGGAACTGGATTCAAAGTGCAGTTCAGCTCCACGGTTAAAGTAGTCATTCCACAATCTCATAGGGCATAATGAGGGCTTTGGCCCACCTCCTCTTCAATCCTTTGGATAAAAACTACTTTAGAGTGTGTCCTGCTGCTAAAGTCAACAAACATAAAAGCTACGTTGCCAGCATGAAGCACATTTTAATAAGATTTCTTGGCTTTGTTTCAGCCTTTCAGTGTGCATGAATTATCCGCGCCTTCTAGCCTGGTCATCTTGCCTTTTAATGTTTCTACTCAGCTTCCTTTGTTTAAAGTGCTGCAGGACTTGATATTTATTTCCTTTTGAATCTTACACAGGAACTCCAGAGACGGTGTAATACACTCATATCACTCATTGAAAAGGAAAATATGGAAATTGAGGAAAAAGAGAAAGCTGAAAAGAAGAAGCGAGGAACCAAGACACCAGTGGTAATTAATGAATATCTTCTCGTCGCATTTATTTATTTTTTACATTTAAAACGTGTTACATTTCCTTCGGTGAAGAAGCTTTGAAACAGAAATGAAAGTAAATGTTCAAATTCAGTCAAAAAACATAAACCAGTATAACTCAATAACAATTCAAAAATCATTGGCGAATAAGGGAAAATCTTGCAGCTGGAGGAAAAATATCCTTCTAGAATGAAAGAAAGGAGAAAAATAAAACATCTGCCAAGATCTCTTTTTTTTAAAGTATAGAATTGTTGGCTTTCCAAATATTAGATTATAAATTATGTCTTTTCCAGTAGTGGGTGTTCATGGACTCCTGAGAATGTGCAAGGCCATTGCATTTTGACTCTTCTACTAGTGGGGAGATTCACATTAAAGATACTAGTATCTGAAACTCAAATTTCTTTGGTTAGGAAAAAAAAATGAGTAAGAATTCATAAAGGAGAAATCTCTAAGGGATAAGGATCATAGGCTCTGAGGGGTTTTATGAGTTAATTTCTTGGATAGTTTGCATAGAATGTACTGGTTAAAATGTGATGCCTTGCAGTTGTGAATGAATTCGAAATCTTTAAATACACAGTGGCAACAGAATTCACGAATTGGAGTCTTTATAAAGTTAAGACTGACTCCTAGAACTGCAGGGGTGAGAGAAAGTTGAGGAACCTTTTGAGACTATCCATAATCTTCCTGTAATGTGTTTAGAGCTTCATTGAGTAGATAAAATGATTCTGGTTAAACAGTAGCCCAAATGCATCATTTACCATTTTCTATTGGAAAAAGGCATATTGATTAGTTACAATTAGATACAGAAAGGAAAATACCTTGGAGATCTTCTAATAGTCCGACTCCCTGCTCAGGCAAGAGATCCTATACTATTTCTGAGAAGTGGCTGTCCAGTCTTTTCTTAAAAAAGCCTCCAGTGATGAAGTACCTACAACTTCTGAAGGCCAGCTGTTCCACTGGTCAATTGTTCTCACTATTAGGAAGTTTCTCTTTAATTTTAGGTTACTTCTCTCCTTGATTCGTTTCCACCGAGTACAAGAAAGGTCAGGGGCAGGTTCAACAAAATCAGACTTCTAAGATAGCAGTATAGCAGTAACATTTAAACTTGTATGCCCCTTCACCGTGCTTTACAGCCCTCTCTACAGACTCAGCCTCTTGCCCCCAACAATCTGGGGTCCTCATTTTACCCACCTCGGAAGGCTGGAAGGATGGGTCAATCTTGAGGTGGTCAGGATCGAACTGCTGGCAATTGGCAGAATTAGTCTGCAATACTGCATTCTAACCATTGCACTACTATGATTCTTATATAGCAATAGCACTTAGACTTATATATTGTTCCGCAGTGCTTTGCAGCCCTCTCTGAGTGGTTTATCAAGCCAGCCTATTGCCCCCAACAATCTGGGTCCTCATTTTACCCACCTCGGAAGGATGGGAAGGTAAATCAGTCTTGAGCCAATGAGAATCAAACTGCTGGCAATCGGCAGTTAGCAGACTCAACCTTGAGCCAGTCAGGATCGAACCTGCCAGGCACTTGGCAGAATTAGCCTGCAGTTCTGCATTCTAACCACTGCACCACCTAAGATGCTGTTCTTTGAGCCAATCTCAAGAAAAGACATTTTAGCCTTCCTGGGGAGTTGATTTCCTGGTTAGTATACCTACCGGGCCTGATACCATGATCCACATTCTCTGCCTCTGTTATGAAAGGCAGCCTCCAGTCGTGGCAACCAACCTTATAGGTTCGTAGCCCTTCAAAGTCAGGCAGGGTTATTGTTTAATTGACTGGAACATCTGACTCAGCGTCCCTCTTTAAAAGAGCTGATTTTTGGGTGGGGGGGGAATAGGTTCTCAGTTTTCTCAGCAAAGTCACTGAATTTGATTAATGAGTTTAATAAAAACATGACATGCCAGTTTGTTTCAGGTGTGTGTCTGTTTAACTCAAATCGCTATTAGTATTAGTAGAACTCATTTGAAGTTCTGACCACATCGGAGGTCACGGACCGTTTTGCAAGATTCCACCTAGTTTTAAAAGGTTTGCAAATTTTCTCTCAGCACTGTGTGTCTTTTCAAAGGCCCTGTTTGTATATGGATGGATGAAAGGTAGTTCTTTGTTACCTTCAGCTGGCAACATAATGGCCTATTCAATTTCATTACGTTTCTAAAATACCGTGTGATTAATGAAAATGACATTTTCTTCTTCTTTTTCCCCTCCCTTTAGTCTCAAAAAAGAAAAGCCGAAGCTGCTACAGAAAACTCCGGAAAAAAAGATGCCAAGAAAGCAAAGACGTAAAACAGAGAAACAGTCTCCAACTGGAAAAAAATATATATTTTCCTCTCTAACCCATGTTTTTGATGCTGTCTGTGTATTCCTAGTACTGTCCCCCTCAATTCCTCGTGGTTTTAATTTTTTGCAAATCTGTATTTTTTACAATGCCTTCCTTTACCTATTGAGTAGTTTAATATTTTATGCATTCCAATATTTTTGTGCACTTGTACTTTGTGATATTTCTCATGTCTTCAGCAAAATTTACTCGGTCCTTGTTCCTCTAAAGATTGTGCTGAGTTTTTTTAGCTTTCATGTTTTATATGCTGCTGCTTTCACACGAACGAACTTCCCCATTGATTCTATAGTTGTATTATTGTTTGCTACTTTATATAATTGTGGAGAACTAAATGGAATTAAAATAGCCTGAGGTGAAAGACACATTTAATGTTGTCTGCTCATTTTCAATTCTTTTTCAGCTACAGCTTTTGATATTTTAAAAGAGCAGTTAAAGAATTGTCTGCAAGGATATCAAAAAAATTTAATTTTTAATTTTAATTTTAAAAAGTTTAAATGTTTGAAAAGGCAACTGAACTGATTTTTTTGAGGAGGAAGAAGACGACAATGACATTTTGCTTCCTATCCTGGCAGGTTCATCAGTTGTATTGGATGGTGTGGGAGATGGAAGGACAGTTATTGGCAGTTGAGATTAATTGGGGCAGGAGGGAATGATAAGTTCTGACAGGATGGTGGTTGGGGGAATGGAAAGTTGTTTTCTTTGAAGACAACACTCTCTGAGAGCCATTATGATTACTTGACGTCAGCAGAATCAGAGGCATGGAATCTTCTTGGAACAACCAATGGAAACATCTTTTTCTTCTTCAATTTTTTTTTTAGTCCAGTTGCCTTTTCAAAAATAAACACCACTTTTGATTCAACTGTGACCCGGATGACTTGAGAATTTTCATTGACATTGGCAGGTATGTTCTTTCATCATTCTTCCATTTTTGGAAGGGAAGGAGATTTATTTGCAGGCTATCAGTCTTGTCCTTTTCTTGCTATGATGTTATTTTCCATCCTGCTATTTTCTTGATGTCTTACATGGAAAGGCAAGGTATATGCTCTGTTAGGTATTCACATAAGAAGAAATATTCTTCGCCTATACTCAGATTTCTCTTTAACTTGCATGTGATTTGAAGTCTTGGATGCCCATATATGGTAGCTGTAGCGGAGAATAAGCATAGCTCAAGTTGAAATGTTGGGACCTTGGTGTTTGTTGTGGGCGTGGAGCTTCTCAGTGTAAAGGTTTCCAAGCTGCATAGTACATGTCAATTACCATGACTAAGTCATGTAGGATGTCTACATTTATCTATGCTGTTCAGAGATAAAGCATCAGTTATGAAGAACATTCTAATTTGGTTGTAAAATTGAGAATGAAGAGAGTTCTGGTTATACACTATATGAAGAGTTCTAGTCCTGCCTTAGGCATGAAAGCCAACTAGGTGACTTTGGGCCAGTCATCAGAAGATTCTGAATTCTAGTCTCACCTTGTCCATGAAGGTCAGTTGGGTGATCTTGGACCAGTCATTCTCTCTTAGCCTAACTCATTTCACATAGTGGTTATTGTAGGGAATATCAACATTGAACTGAACCTGGCAGAAGCCATTTTCTTGTTCATCGTTGCCACACAGTACATGACGGGGGGAGGAGGTTGGAATGCCTCCCTAGATGCAACACAGAGCTTTCTTGTAACCAAGGTCATCTCCCTAGTTATTTATTTTATTTAGCGTATGGCACTGTCAGCCAGGGATCACCGAGGTGGCTGCCTGTGTGATGACCCGGGGCGTGGCACAAAAGCAATACAGTCAAATAATAAGTAGGAGTCCCTTTATTAGCTTCAACTTTGCCCCTTCTGGGCTGGAGAAAAACTCTCCCAGGAACAGCCTTTGGCTGCAGAGATTCAAATCCAAAAGGTTGTCAACAAAAACTTTTAACTATAAGTCCAATCAAGGCATGATGAGGTCATTAATCCTGCAGGGCAAGAGAAGGAATTCCAGATATAAAGGAACAGCAGTAAATCAACCCAGTTGGGAGGATGCCAGGAACGCAGATAGTTAAAGTCAACACAAGATAAACTCAACATTTGTTCCCAGCAGATGCCACACTCAGCTTGCATCTCTTTTAAACTCTTCCCAGATGAAGGGAATCAGGGCCCTTTCCTCCCCTGAAAGCCATGCAACCCACGTTGCTTGCTTCTCCGTTCCTCCCTGCGTTCCCTAGGATGAAGAGGGGGTGGGCCTGGATCTTCCTCTGAACTCCCTCTCCCTTGTTCTACCTCTTGCCTGCTCTGCCCAGCCAGACTTTGCCCTTCCTCAGTTTTCTTCACAGCCAACGGAGCCACACTCCCACTCCCTGTCAGCTGTTATCTTTCCCCCGGGATGCCTGAATGCTGGTAGGCAATCGAGGGAGGCTCCTTTCTTGTCCCTCCGCGGTTTATTCAGTCACAGGAATTGAGCCGCCAAGCTGCCATCCTCAGCGGTGTGCAGGCCCAGCATCTACCACCACGGCCCATCTCCCTAGGTGACGGAGATGGGGAGGAGTGCCTGAGAAGCCCGCTAGTTAACCTAATTGGACAGTGTGACCAGTGACACTTGGGGAAGGGGTTAATAAACTGTTTAATAAACCGTGGGAACTATTTGGAGTTGGTTTTACACTAAGTGTGCTGATATGATGTACCCAATTGAGGAAGATAGCAGCCTTTACTTGGGTTCATTAGTTGGGACCTTGACAGGGAAAATGGGGAAGGCGTGTTGGATATATTTACTACCTTGAGTTACTTGTAAAAATTATAAATATGGGATACATCTTTAGACATCACTCCAGGTTATGTTATTCTTTACATGATAGATTCGCCTTCCAAAGGAAGCAAAATATTCTTTGTTAATTCAGAGAAGCTCCTACCAATTCCTCCACAAAAATACACAAAAACAACAGCTACTTTCGATGTCTAACAACCGAATGTTACCAGGCATTCATGTCTTCTCTGAAAGTTGCTTTTTGCAGTCAAAATCTTCTGCACATTTGTGGGATATGATTTCCCAGAAGTGCATAATTCAGATCTGTGTGCATGGAAGTGTGGAAGATTTTTTTATCTATTTATCAAATTTACTGATTGTCCATCTCAGTAACTCTGGGCAATAAACAATTAAAAACTAGAACCATTAGATATAATAGTGTCTTTAGCCCATTGATGGCGAACATATGATACATATATCAAAGATGACACACCACAACATTTGGGACGACGCGCCAGCATTCACCAAGACTCAGCAACAACTATCCTTGGAAGCATGTCCAGTCCTTGTGTGAGCTTTGGAGGCCGTGCAAGAATAGGTTGTGTTTTTGTGCAACTGCCAGACCCTCCGAAAATGAGTGTGTTTTACTTATATTTCATTGTAAATGTTTGGCATTTCTTGGTATATTACATAGCACCACACATGATTGGACTTACTATTTTTCTTAATAAATCAGTATGTAGAGAACTGTTTCTTCTGTCTCTGTCTGTCTCTCCCCCTCTCTCTCTCTCTCCCTTTCCCCCCCTCCTCTCTGACATGCCAGGCGTTAGGCATTTTCCAAATTTCTGACATGCTGAGCCCCAAAAGTTGGGCCTCACTTCTTTAATCTCTGCCAAGTTGAAACAAAGGTGCTTTTTCAATAGGCAACTGTACCTTCATGTTTTCAGAGCTGAAGAAGCTTCTTGGATGAGAAGCAAAATGTTTTCAAGGAAAAAAAAAACCCAAGTCCATTTGCCTTTTGAAAAAGCAACCTTCGGACAACCATGACCTGGATGATTGAGAATCCCTGGACATATACCAAGCCGCAGGCTGTTGCAGAGAGCAAAGTTTGAAGGGGTTTAAATGAAGACAGAAGAGCCATTCAAAAGTGCCTCAGTTTGCAAGCCTGGCCTTTTGATTTAACATTTCGATAATCGCAACACAAAAGCCAGCCCAGTGTTTATCCTACTTGGAACTTCACAATGTTTGAACAGAAGCTACCTTGCGGTGGTGCAAAATAAAACAAGAGGAAGGCGCCCAAGGTAATTCTTTGTGTCACTTTGAAGCCCCGGATTCCTTTATCTTTCTGATTATTGGTGAAATACGGAGGCCAGCTGAGGAGGGCTCTCAGACTGTGGTTTGCCATTATTCCTTGCTTTGGTTTAAATGCCACACACAAGTTTGCAAAAAAAGGCCCTCGTCTTTTGTTCCTCTGAAAGATGAACTTAACAGGGCCAACAACTTATTAAGGAGCCATCCAACCTGGAGGGAAGTGATACAGCTATCATGCAGATGCAAGATTTTGACTTCCTGTGAGATTTTTATTGCTCTGTTAGATCAAGGCTCTAGCAATGGGACGTAGCTCTTTGTCCAAGTGCAAAGAAAAGGATTAAATAAAAGCACTAAACTATGCTGGTATTTGGGAGGACCAGGGACACTTTCAGAGCTTTAATACGAAATTGAAAACAAGATCACAATAGAGGTAGGACCGATCTGAGTCACAATAACATCAGCCGAGGATTGAATTGAATTTTGATCTCTCTAGGGTTCCACCGGTGTTTAATTGTCAAAGTTCAATATAGATAGTCCTCTATTTACAACCACAACGGAGCCCAAAAATTTCTGATGCTAAGTGAGACAGATGGTGAGTTTTGCCCCATTTTACAATTTTTCTTGCCAAAGTTGTTAATCACCGCAGTTGTTAAGTTAGTAACATGGTTGTTAAGTGAATCTGGCTTCCCCATTGGCCTGTCAGAAGATTGCAAAATCACATGGCCCTGGGACACTGCAACCGTCATAAATATGAACCAGTTGTCAAGCATCTGAATTTTGATGATGTGACCATCAGGATGCTGCAACAGTCAGAATAGAATAGGATAGGATAGAATAGAATAGAATAGAATAGAATAGAGTAGAGTAGAGTAGAGTAGAGTAGAGTAGAGTAGAGTAGAATAGAATAGAATAGAATAGAATAGAATAGAATAGAATTCTTTATTTGCCAAGTGTGATTGGACACACAAGGAATTTGTCTTGGTGCAAATGCTCTCAGTGTACATAAAAGAAAAGATACATACGTCAAGAGTCAAGAATCATCA